AGACCTTTGACAAAGGCTGCAGTTAAGAGGGATTTTTGTTGATTGCGTAGAAGGGAAACTGAAACACTACTTTAATGATGAACCCACGGGTGTTCAGCCTTCTATCCTCACCTCCATAAAACTCCATTAATCTTGAGCAGTGATAAAGCGTTTACTGCCGGCTCGATCCCAATCCAGTCTAGCTTTCTCTGGATTAAAGAAAATGGCGATGTGATTTTAGGAAAGTGGCGAAGTGCTGATTGGTTCACACAGGTGGAAGGAGGGAAGGGGATAGTCAAAAATAATCAGCAACACTTGGTCGAGGTAGAGATGGACACGTTTTACCTACCTCAACAACCACCTAAATGTGCATATATGTAGGCCTGACGAGAGTCGATCGTAAAAAGGGATATGCTTGCCACATCGTTCTCTGAATTTCTCAATGGAGAGTTTGGCAAACTGACATTGCTGATCCTGTTTTGTCGCCAGAGATGAGCAAAAATTACACTCATAAAGACCATTGTGAATCAAAGGAAATTGCGGGGTTGACTGCTCTGAAGCTTCTGAAAGCGGTGATTATGGAAATATCAGGGATTCAAACAAATACTGTCTAGTCGGTAACAATCGGGAGATGGCACCCAAAAAAATCCACCTAGCCAAAGCAGCCTGTCTTACGGGACAGGTGGTAATAGGGGTTTTATGGGTGGTGGCAGGTCCGGATGTAGGATACTAGCCGACAGAAAGCCTTATTTGAACAGGCGAATGATCGAAGTTGGCCCGCTCTCCGTTCCGCTATTACAAAATGGGTCGCCAAAGGCAGTATAGTGGTAACAAACGAGTGGAAGGCGTATAATCGTCTTCCCTCAGAAGGTTATCTACATTTCTCTGTTAACCACTCGAAGAACTTTAAGGTCCCTACCACCGGACGGCACCCCAATGCCATTGAGGCATACTGTAGTAGACTGAAAAGGAAACTCCACGAGGGAGGCCCTGTATGTGGTCGAGCTGTGTGGGCTCACATAGACGAAGTACAGTATGGTCTTTGGTTTGGCCTCAATGCCATGTATTTGACAGATGCCTGGGAACTGTTCCTGTCTCATGTTATGCAGACTTATCCTATTTAAAAGTGTTTTTGTTTTGTAATAAACTGCCATAATGCGAATGTATGCCGTATATTCAGGTGTACGTGTGTAAAGATGGCGAAGGTTGGGTAACAGCGACCATCGTCCATGTAACCTCCCGCGATGTTCATTCGGCCAGCCCATATTAGGCCGTCGTGGAAAGTCCAAGTAGTGCGTGAAAAAAGGCCTGAAACCGCTGATATAGCCTGAAGACGTTTGAGTCCACTGTTGAAGGTATAATTTCTAGGTAACGGATTTTTTGGGTGCCATCTCCCGATTGTTACCGTCTAGTCAGCTATTAGTTAAGGCGACTGTCAATTATAGGCGATGCTTTGACGGCTGCTTTATCTTAACTCGTGACGGTAGTACTTCGAACCCAATTCTCCTAGCTCACTTTCAGTGAACATTAAATTACTAACAGTGCCAAAAGGCTACATGTGGCAAATGTGTGTCTATTTCCCAAAAGAGATTCGAAAAACGTATAAATATGTCCGCTTACTATCTCCTTTCGACAGAAATAATCCTAAGTTAAACTGGACTCAAAGATTTCCTTGGTTGAGAAGTTAGGGAGGATCAAAGAGAGGTCAGACATCTTCCTAGTAAAACCAAAGAGCGTAGAGGTTCGGCAAATATGGAACTTCTCTAAGCGGCAGGCCAAATCACTACTGCATGAGTGCCAAGGTAAGCTTTCTACGGTAATTTTCGTTAACTGCACGCAAAACCAAAAAAAGCCTAGTTCAGAAGATGAAGATGCGATCACTGGAACAAGAAATTTATTAGCCTGACGTTTCGGATCCTCATTCGGATCCATCATCAGAGACATTCGCAGATAAAGATGATGGTGGCACGAGGAGTGCAGTATTTAGAGCATGTGGCTGCCGTGAACCGTATGCGCGCTGCAATTAACAGTTCTCGCAATCACCGCTGGGATCGTAATTGATGCGGTGGTGGTTTGTCGGTCCGAGTCCGAGTCGTTAATTGCCGTGATTTCGTCATCCGTGCTGGATGCTGGTGTGACGATTGCTAAGGAGCACTCGGATCATTCGCCGGTCGTGCTGAAGTACTGCGCGTCTCGCCAGCTCTGTGTTGACCAGCTCCGCATCAATTACGACCCCAGCGGTGATTGCGAGAACTGTTAATTGCAGTGCGCATACGGTCCACGGCAGCAACTTGCTATAAATACTGCACTCTTTGTGCCACCATCACCTTTATC